CCTCTTAAGTCGTAATAATATTTAGACGTAATACTAATCGCAATATCATTGATAATTAGCGAATGTTAAAGTGACTAAAATCGACTATATAACATAAACAGAATTACAAACGAACCTCAGCAATATTTTCCAATTCATAAACATCGATATCCGTTGTATCGAATATTGCACAGCACGTCTCACTTATTTTTAATTTTAATAGATAGCACTAGAAAGCTGCTTTGCTTACTCTGCGGATCTACCTCGCTTTCAACGCGATGGGTTCTTGAAAGAGTAAAAATTCAGAAGAGCTCTCGGCAGCAAGTGCGTATGTAAAAATGCCGTTAATCTTCTTCTTTTTTCTTCTTCGTCTTTGTTGATCTTCCGCTAAGCTTGCAACAAATTGAGAGAATGTCGGTGTATCGAGTCTGGCACGACGCTCGAGAGCCACCGGACTCCGGCCATTCACCGCGAACTTGACCCACTGTCACACTTGCAACACCGGTGCACGTGTTACTCCCGTGTGTGTATTCCGGGTACAGAAAAGGCTACCGTGTACTTTTCACTTGCGGCGCCTCAGTTTATCGCAAGGTATTCTTACAACTGTACACTGATGACGTAACGGCTACCGAGATAAGACTCTTTTATTTTCTTCTCGTTGCATCAGGTTTAATCCACAGATTAACGCGTCTTTGATATATCATATATTTAATGATTTTCCGACGCAGAATTTAAAAAAAAGCCGTGAGATGTCGATAAATTATTGATAAATGCATCATGTATTAATGATTGGAAAGGTGAAGAATGTTTTATTCATGTTCCAACTGTGCTTCAAAATTATATCGTCTCCCTTATGTTAATGTCATGAATGTGAGATTAGATAAAGAAAAGAAAAAAAACACAATGGAATATAAATTTTTACTCCACAAAATCGTTTCGCTTTAATTGATTATTTCACTTTTACTTTACTTCGTCTTCTTTTTTTCAAAAATAACTTTACTCTTTCTAATAGCGAATTCGGTTGCTTGCACTAGTGCACACTGAGTGCACACTAAGGCTTGTTTATAGTCAGTTCTTATATATAACTTTGTCTTAAATACATGTTCGAAGAATATTTAGTCAAAAAATGATCCGTATTAACATTGTGCAGACCATTTTTCTGGGTAAGAAATATTGCAAGAGGTATTTAAGATGATCTTTAAATATAAGAATTGACTGGAACTATTTTCATAATTTCATAATGATTATTTACACATTATTTTGCAAATGTCAGAAATTCACTACGTCACGCATATCTCGATAGGTTCGTATTTTCGGCGCTTATCGAGAAATTGTTTTATGCAACGTGTTGAATGAGCGAAATTACTTTTGACATCGTTTCATCGTAAATCTAATTGGCTGTGACAATCGATGGCGCAACATGTTATTATATATTAAATGAGAGCACGTGTAATTGTATGATTATCGATCAATCGTTCTGCACGCGACAGCGATATGACGGACCACGCAATTAATCGAATGCAGTAATTTTTGCATCTTGTTTTTGTTAAACAGTTATTACAACGCAAAGTTTCGCAATTGGGAATACCGTAGCTCTTTCTCTCTCTCTCGCTCGAGGGAAAATGTCCTTGTGTTACCTAGCAGCTGCAAGATTAAGCAATTAGAGCGTGCCATCCGTTTAACATATCCCGCATTTTATCAGCCAACGAAAGCCGAAGAAAAATGTGCGTAGCGTAAAGAAAAGCGCATCTGCGCTCTTGCGCGTCGCTGCGCTCTCGTGCATCTCGACGTTTACGACGGCTAATCGACGAGTAGCATTTCGTCCGCGTCTCTCAACATAAACCAGGAATTTCTCCGTGATGCAATTACCGAGCCATTTTCTACTGTTTCAGAGGATTCGTATTATATCCCACGAGAAATGTGAAAATGCACGTGCAAGCTATACGCTCGAATATACGACGGCCCTGCGGCTTGCACCGGGCGCGCGCGCATGTCTTCTGTTCTCGTTTGGCGAGGAAAAAAATGAATATTTATGCGTCTTCGTTTGCACGCCACGTAACGCCATCAACTTTACTCAATGGCGCTACGTTTTAATGCTATTCATGGTATCCACTACGTGCGTGCGAAAAATGCTCCGGCGAAAAACGCTCCGCTGATCAAACAGCTAGAGAGAGATTCTGAGACGACATATAAGTAAATTTATCTTTACTTCCCGGGACAAGTGAATGATGTTGACATTTTCTGAAATAGGCCAAAGCTCACACAGAGCACTTCAGAATTATTGTAACTTCTTGAAATGAGAATGTCTGATTTTTGTGTGTACATTATTCAGGTCTCCCTTTTAATCTTACTTCAACATTTTAAAACATAGATGAAGTTAATTCGAGACCGAAGCATTTACTTAGAAAATACGAAAGACTGCAAATCTCTTTTTCATTTAAAAAAGAAAACGTATACCTGATTCGCGATGGGTCGTCTCTCAATCTCTTAAAAGATTCATAAAAATTCGCTCGAGAATGTAAATGCACCGAGTCATAGAAAGATCGTATCGGAGCTGCAGTTCACAATGACCGATCGTATTTGACGCGATAAACCTGTTACGATATCGTTTTGATCATATTTCACAGTCGGACAGAGTCATGTGTTTCTGCGTCAATAACATTGCCTATTGTGCGTGGCAATTTGCAGAGTGACAACTTATATACTTTAACGTCGCAAAAAAGCCCCGTTACACAAATCGTACGTTTATTCCGCGTTATATAACTCTCAGACCATGTCATCGCTGACCGGTCAGCCATTAGCAAATGTTACTTGGTCAGAGGCAATCGCGTGAATTTTCAGTACTTTCACATGTAATAGCGGACGATGTTGTATCACATCAAATAAACATGCTACTTTCATATCGAGCAATTTTCTAGCTAATTCTCGGTCGAATTCCGGCAAAAGTTTAATGGATTCCATTAAAGAATGAATTGGAGAGTTAATTAATAAAACGCTTTATCTGTACTAATGCGCAAATTATAGTAAGTGCAGTTACAAATTGTAATAACGCACCGGGCACACGTAACTTTAGACAAAGTTCAAGCTTATTAAAACGTTCTGACTTGTAAACAATCTAGAGTGTTGAGCTCGACTTGGTTCTAAAATGCATCTGCTATGTATATAGCCGTGCATATTTAGTATTGCTTATGGCTGAACAGACTTATTTTTTTTTAATAGCGTATCATTTTACAGCAAGCATTAAATGATTTTTCTCTCTTCGATAATGTATGAGTTAAAAATGTAATACTTTGGTTCATTATTATTTATTAATGAGATTAAATTGCAAGTAGAACGAGGATATTTTGAGCGGTATTTTTATTACGATTTTTATTTACGTAGTTTTGTTACTGAAATGGTCTTCGGTGCATTACATTTTATAAGACCCCAATTTACCTTCGAATTGCAGACATTAGGAAAATTAGAAATAAACTGTTCTCTTGACAATGGATATGTAGAGTAAGGTCCCTTGTTACAGCTTGTATTGCTTTAAGCTGTTCTTACAAATTGTTTCTTATTTTCGGAAATTTAGAATAATTTAGAATTTTTATCGCAATGCATTGTTCCGATAAATGCAAACAAAATGGTCTTTTTCATAATGAGTCAACGTGCAGAATGACGTCTTTGTTACAGTACTCTGTTAAATTAGTGTTTTAAATTTATTCTCTTTGAAAAAAGATTGGAGTAGTTTATAAAATTGCTATACCATATATATATATTACATTTTCTTTATTAAACAAAATGTTATAATTTTTTAGGGTATCTTTGACTAAGGAAAACGAAATCTTTAAATGTTTGAAACGGAGAAAGTAAGGAAAACTAACATTTTAAAGAGCGTTGTAGTTATGACATTTTATACGAATACATATATTATTACGTACAGACAACTTTGCAAAAAGTAAACGTCCTTCCTTATGTGCTATCACATGATTTTATGTGAAATCGTCCTATTCGTTTTGTTTAAATTAATTAAATTATTAATACACATTGGTGTCGGTTAATTTTTACAAATATCTTTGCAAGCGATATTCGAATTATTCGAAAGTTTTTGATTTCCAACAAAAGTTAAACAGGCTGCATTAATAAATGAATTGGAAAGCTAATTATACTAATTAGTCAAACGCCTTATCCATGCTAATACGCAAATTATGATGAGCGCAATTACAAATTGTAATTACGTAGCGGACACAATCACACATAACTTTGGCTAAAGTTCAGGCTTGTTAACATCGGTTAATTAACGGATATAACGCGTAATCAAATTGCTAATGAAAATAATAGATGCAATGTACATTTATATCCAAGTTTATCGTGCATCAAGATTATTGTGGAATAGAAGAAAAAAATATTTTCCCACGGATGTAAAAGCGACATAGGAAAAGTGTGTTTGACGACGTAATGAAACGTGAAATATTAAATGAGGTGAATTATTACGAGTGTAACGTTGTAGAACGTTGTTTAATTCAACGGTATGATCTTAAATGCATGTCTATGCAGATGCGCGAGGTGAAAGATAATTAATGGCACACCCGCCTTATCTTATCGTTTTGTTAATATCTATTGCGACCAGTTGGGCAAATACTATTTTTCCGATCGATTGACATGTGTGCAAACATCGCGACATACATGTATATTATTTGAAACGTCGTGTTTTTTTTTCGCAACGAAGTCACGAGCACAATATATTCGCCTTTTCAGTCCTCACGCGAGAAATTCACCGGACATTATATGAACACGAAACGTACTTTTTGCTCGTCATCGTACATTGCATCGTACGCCGCGAGAAAAACTGCAGGCTTTCTACCTTTTCAGTGCAATTGATTTATGGAAATTTCACTGCTCGCGCACCGCCGCTATTAGAGATCGTTGAAATTTGCGGTGCGCGGGTAATTTTCTGATACTTTTCCGTGTCGAATCATCGAAATAAATTGCCTCTTCGCGATCCTATACTGCTCAGTTATGAAGTGCAGTCCTCAGTTACGAGGTGCAAAAAAAAATGAATAGCGGGATGCAAAAGATTTAAGCGTCTAATTTGCTAATTATACAAATGTATACAAGGAAAGTTACGAGTTGCATCGAACGTGCAATACTTCCTGGTAATGTATCAAATTGCCATAATTTCATAGACAATTATAAGCATCGATCCATCTCCAATTACAATAGTCTATTAGCTAATTGCAACTGATTGCATTATTACAACCGTGCAATCAATCAAATGTGTATCGTTCCAAAAGTAATACATATTATTCAAACTACTGGTGTGATGGTCTGACAGTAAGCAACTTATAAAAATAACAGGAATGCATGAAGTGTTCTGACACACGCGCGAATTGCTGCCTTATCAATCCACTGCGAGTCGCGATACGGTAGATCTCTGCTGTCTTTTCGTGCACAGTGCTATCGATAGCTGGTAAACTCATACGTCGTAGTCGGTACAGCGTTGGAAAATTTCCCCAAGATCGGAGAGTGCCGTTAATTTATATTTGTACGAGATATACCGTAGATGGTGCATCAATGAAAGCGCATCGGCGCCCGCGTCCCTTTCATTCGCTTGTTTTTCCTCTTCCTTTCTCCTCGACAGATCGCTCGCGCGACTTGTACACGAGCCTCCAATTTCGTGCTAATTTCATCAAATTACAGTTAGCCCGACTTGCTAAAAATAAAGAAGCCATCGAAGGCGAAGCGCACATAAGTATACGGGACACTTCACTCCCGGCGAGCGTAATTGTTGATTACTTTCGCGATCCGTAATTATGCTCCCGCACTTTCCTGCTAATTACCATCAGCCTCCGTTCTCCGCAGTTTGGTTTTTTAATTAGCGATTAGAGATATGCCCGCGTCCAAGTTACGTGGAACTTGGAAAGTGCACGTCTCTCTGGCGAAGATATATTTCCGTGAATATAGATATATACGACGTGCCTCGCAGCGATCGCATGTGTTTTCCTCGCAAGTTTCTATTCGGTCCTGATGTACAACACGCGCGCAATGGCTTTCTATACTTTATTCCGCTAGTACTTTACCATCTTTACGACTATCGGATCATTAACCGGCGATAAATTAGCGAAACGTTAAGAGAGCTCGTAAAGCTGTACGTTCTAATTTCTTTATGTCAATTAATTGCCGGCCGATCGGCTTTTATGAAACATTGAGTTACTTCTTTCGTAATCTCTTACTTTCGTAATATAAACAGAAAAGAATTATTAAAAGGAGCATACAAGGAATAAATAAATCAACAAACACCGACTACATATGAACTCCTGGATAAACCGGAGCGAAAACATGACAAATAAAATAAATAAAAATAAATTTAAAAAGTTTTACATATAGTTGAGTTCATAGAATGCATTGTCTTAGTTAAACGAAACTTTATAATATTAAAAGGAATATATAAATCGACAAGCATCGACTACGTATGAACCCCTGGATAAACCTGAGCGAAAACATGATAAATAAAATAAATAAAAGTAAATTTAACAAGTTTTACATGTAGCTGATTTCATAGAATGCATTGTCTTAGTTAAACGAAACTTTATAATATTATGCAAACAAATGCAAACGAAACCTCGGGAAAAGTAAAGAATACCAGTGATATCTGGTAATATATTTTTTTTATTGAGATATCGATAGCTCGCGTCAATAGCAAAAACATATAAATTTAAACGATCCCCAATTTGCCATTCATATGTAAATCTCTATGCATATTATTTTACAGCGTGATATAACATTTTAGTTCTTTTTCTCTTTACTATCTTTAGAATTATTATAAATTGACACTCCAGAATTAAACAACTGAACGTTAAATTTTGAGCTCTCTATTTTCACGAATGCTTTGGTTTCAGAAAAAAAAAGAGCGTAGATTTGTATTGCTGTTCGGCGTCTGTCAATTTGTCCAGCAAAATTACATCAAGTGTCTATTTTCGTATAATTCCACAATAACGGTACGGATTCGGAGTGTCCGTTTTTAAGAGGATAAACGCGCGACTTTGCACGGCTTCGGAGCACGTCGGGTCGCGTTTCCGTCATCGTATCGAAATCCAGCTAATCCGCGAGTGCCGATGACTGATCACTATCGGCCCCGGCCTGTGTCACACTGAGTCTGTGTGTTAATGGAAATCATACGTGACACGTGTTCGGTTCTAATTATATCCGCGCGACACACGGTTAATCACGAGAACTCGGCCGTAATTCTAGGGCAAACGTGCGTTGGCATCTCTATGCATAATTCAGGGATGCAGGCGGATATGTATACGTAGAAGCGCGATTAAACCCGAAGGATATTGACATCCGTATGTTATGAATATCATATGAATGTGGAAGTCGGGCGATGCGCATGCACGACAGATCTGAATGATCCGTTCAGGAAATGCAAAACACGAATGCAATACAATGCGGACGCAATGCAGCGGCTATAGATTAACGCGGGAGTATTTCTCTCGAAGATGTGTTGGACGCAGAATACACCGAATCGCATCCCTTGCATGTCAAAAGGAATTTGCAAAAGTATTCAAGATTTATCTTCGTCGCGATAGTTTAGTTAGACGTAAAAGGGTATTACGTCATGTCAAAATACAATAATTGTACACGAAAGGTAGTGTACGCATGAATAAACATTTTATTTTTAATAATTTCTTTTTCGAAACACACGGCAATATGAACGTTACCAGCGTTCGATTTCAAAAAGTAAGGTAATGGATATTGCGTTCGCCACTGTAAGTTAATTACAGCGAACTGTTAAACAATCAAATCGCGCGCATATTTTTTTTAACAAGGTGCTTGATTAAATTAATACACGTGCGCGTGCTTGATTTAATTAATGTTTGCTTTTCTCTACATCGCGCATTTTAATAGATTGGATAATTTTATACTTGGCGTAGAGAACAAGTGTCTCTGCTGAATTAGTCATCAAATAAAGAGCAGAGAGCAAGTTATTACATTGCCAGATATCGAGATGATCTAGTATTCCGAGATTGGAATGGTGAGATACAAAACTATTCGGGAAGTGGAGAATATTTAAACGAGACATAAAATAATTGCAAAAAATTATCGTTCAATTATGTTGAATGAATTAACTGAAAGAAATGTGAGCTCTATTCATTCATAAATTAAAAATTATACAAAATAAGCTATATTGTTATAAAAATCCAAAATATTAAACATTTATATATTAACATCGATAGTCACAAAATTATCAAGGCTACATGGTAAGAAGAAATGTCACGGACCTTGACCTCCAGCTACAGATTACTTGGCTGCTAATAATACTTTCTCGCTGGCGCGGGCGCCTCGAACATGAAATATTGACCCGAGACTATTACTTAAACGTACAATTTTAATATAAATTACGAGACATATCAAACAAGATAAATATGTGATAAATTTTGTGTTAATATTAAAATTGTGCACAAACAGGAGGAAAAAATGGTATTCATCCCTTGCTATGAATATAACTTAATTTTGGTATTTCAAGTTGAATTAAAATACACGGAACGAAATAACTAGAAGTTACGTAGCAAAATAATACAAAAATGATGAACACTATGATGATAAGCTCGTTGAAAGTGTATTTTAATTTTACTGTTGCAAACTATAATTCAATTCAACTGTTGCATTCTCGAGCGAAATTTTCAAAGCTCTCGCCCTTTCTCCCGCGAAAATTTTACGTGCTAGTCCTCGCGAGAATTACAACGGGCAAATTTCACGGACGTCGGAGGAAAAATATGTGCCACCTTGTCAAGGAAAAAAAAAGAGAACAAGAAACACTCAATAGAGCGACATTCAATGAAGCATACTTAGCGAAGTCTAGCGTCTTCAACAACGTTAGAACTGCTCGAATATCGACCTCCTATGTGTATAACTTTACCGATGCTTTCATGTAAATTCAACATTGACCCATCCCACCCTAGGTTTATACCAATGGTAATCGCATTCGACGTGGAGCGAACAAAGTTTCCACTCGAAAGTTTACAACAAAGTGACAGCCCAAGTTATCTGCCTGTCGATCCAAAAACGCTTCTCCACCGAAAACTATTACACTTTTGGAATTCATTAAAGAACAATAGACTATTTTATCAAACGGGAACTTGACATAAAAACATTGTAAGTTTTAAGTATCGAAATTTCAGCAAGAGCAATTTGCCTAAATATCGCTCAACCGCCTTAATCAAGAATTAACTTCATTTATTATAAATCCTCATTTATTATGAGAGCTTAAAAAATTACTATCTTTTCACAGCGAAATGAATGCGGAAAAAAAAGATGTTGGCTTCCCTTTAAGCTTTTAAATGTAAAATATAAAAATTTTAAGTTTTTTAAATATAAAATTAACAAGAGGTACAAAGGGAAGATAATTTGCATTTTAATACACACTTGTGTCTTGAAATAAAAATACATTTAAAAATATGTATACCGTGTTTTTCTTTTTTTTATACGCTAATGATTCAAGAGAACTGTGCATAGGTCGCGGTTGGCGATTTGAATACGCGCGCGCGCGTGTGCGTGTATGTTGTCTATTTTAGAAACTGTCGTTATACAACTACACTCAACAAGCGGACCTTTGCATCTTGACTTTTCTCTATTATACATTCAGCGAATAACTTCGGCTCGTGCAATGCGCAGAAATAAAATGCGCCACCGTAGTGCTCTTCGTTTGTGTGTACAATAGTTGCCTTTTAATTAAATATCGTTTACGAGACCGAGCCGGTAATGAGCACGCAAGTGTTCGTACTTTTTCACAAAGGCACGACAGTGACGTGCTCGAGCGGCAATCTCTACGAAATCATAACACAAAGTAGCGTTTTCCTTTCACCTCGTTGCGAGACGAGTAAATTATTCGTGCAGTTTCGCAATTCTGTAATTCAAGCTTTCCGCGATTTAATCCGCCGATTTACTTAATAGAAATTTAAATAGATAATACAATTCATCACTCTGTCGTTATCACTCAAGACACTTTGATATGAATCTCCCTTACGATTGGACGAATATCTTCAGCATTGTTTTGTAATTTGCAATTTGCTATTTCAGATCACTTGAAAAGTTTGAATAAAAACCACCCGAAATTTTTGAATAAAAACATTGCCCAGTGTAAGTCGTTTAATCTTATGAAATTTAGATACGAATATCATTCGTTGGAAATGATTGTGGACACCCTGTCCACGAGAAGCGTAATCGAGTAAAAATCTAAAAATTTCGCGATGATAAAGAGCTCATCCGACACACCACGCACAAATCATGGATATGTTAAAAACGGAAACGTCCGTTGATGTCTCAGGGCTGAAGAAGACGGAGGAAGGTAGTACGTGGGACAATTTTCTGGCTGTCCTGGGAGAAGTGATTGGAACAGCAATTCTAATCTTTCTGGGATGCACGATAGGCTTGGGCAGTATGAAGCCGTATAATGAAATTGGGCCGCCGTCTGTCCTACAAGTTTCTCTGGCTTTCGGTCTCGCTGTTATGATCGCTATACAGGTACAAGTCACTTTGAATATGACAATTAGCGTTATCCTCGATGAGAATCGTTAATATATTCCGCGACGCGATAGCTTTACGTCTTATCTATTGTTCACTTATATTTTTGAAATTATTATGTGTAATTTATAATAACTTGTATACTATTTCTTCAGTACTTTCCATTTTGTATTTTAACGACATTAGTCAATGCACTCGATCTGCTTTTTTACTTGTATTTTTTAAATTCTAATATGTAACTTATATGTTGTTTCTTTAGTACTTCCCACTTTGCAGATTAACGACATTAATAATTAACACATCTTATATTACCGATAGGATCAAATACGTAAAAGCGAGTTTTTTTTTAAGTAGTATCCTGTCACCACTCCACGTTATCAAATCTTATCGCCGATCGGATGCATATTTGTTCTTTTTCAGTGCGTTGGCCACATCAGTGGCGCTCACCTCAATCCCTCTATTACAGTCGCCTCGGTGATTTTCGGCAACACGACCCTTATGATGGCTGGATTCTACGTCGTTGCACAATGCTTGGGTGCCCTGCTAGGCTACGGCTTGCTAAAGGTCCACGCACATGTATTAATTTATTCACAGATTACGAAAGGCATCATGCGAATTATGTTTCGGCGACCGACAAAGATAATTTCGGCGCAACAGACTGCTGATATACGTTCATGTTTATGTAACGCGTTATCAAAAATTGCGTTATCTCAAAGTTGCAAACATCAAGATTATTTTTAACCGCCTGAGCGGCCGCTTGCTCTTAAAGATAAAAGATGATCTCTGTGCTCGTTAATCCGCAACATTCGATCATCCAAAATGCTCGAATTCCATGGAATCGTTTTAAATAAAATTCCAACAGCTAGTTTCTCAAATGATTCCTCGCGCAAAACAACAGTAAACCCTTCGCAAAGTATCGATTGAATTTACGTTTCGATTTAATTGTTCAATTCAAATTGCGTTAACTTTTGTTTCAAATTCAATTGACAGCTGATAACACCGCCTTATCTTGTGCACAACGGTAACTCAACCGCAACCAAATCATTCTGCATGACGGTCCTTAACGACGAACTGAATAGCGCCCACGGATTCGCGACTGAGGCTCTAGCCACAGGTATATTAGTCTTCTTCGCCTGCAGCAGTTGGGACTCGCGAAACGCGAAGAACAGCGATTCGATGGCATTGAAATTCGGCCTCTGCATCACCGTGTTGTGTCTTGCCTTCATCCCCTACACCGGCTGCAGTCTGAACCCCGCCAGAACGTTCGGGCCAGCAGTCTGGAACGGCTACTGGACAAGCCACTGGATGTACTGGCTGGGACCGATCACGGGCGGTGTTGTCGCGGCTATGCTCTATCGGTGCCTATTCTCGCCCGAAACGAAAAATCAAGAGAACACCACGCAGGACGTGGCAACTTTAAACGGCACCGAGACGTAAACGGAATCGTACGTATGTTTCTGCACTAGTCAAATAAAAAACATTGTTGTCGCGCGGATCGGTCGTCAATTTCAGTAAGCGATAGTAAAAATCATAATTAAATCAGAATTTAATCTCGACGAAAAGATATGCATTTCGTACATTTAATTAGTCAGACAATTTGTTAATTTCCTTTTGCAAGTTAAATATTGTATGACATTAAATAATCCTTTTTATCAACAATCATATCCAATCAAAAACTGAAAAACGAAGAGCTGCTTCGCTCGTGTGGGTAGTTCTTTTTCGTTGAAAATTTCATCGACGGTCTGCGAGTGTCATGGGTTTGGCACGTTTTCAAATAATTTTTTTTTACGCTTGTCCTACTTCGCCCATTCAGTCCGTCAAATATCTCCTGGATATTTTTGGGTGTCGTTACGTCATTTTCACCGAATGATCCGCCGAACCGAGTTTGTATCGTGCGTACCTTCTTTCAGCGAGCGAAATTGCATTCCGGTCGTCGGTGTTTCACAAATTGAACGAGAAATCCTGATCGCACTGGTATTTTCCCCGGTTAAGAAAAAGGACGTTGCAAAAGTTGCGGCGAAAGAAACTCTCGTGCGGAGCGATGGAAGCAGATCGGAGGGGCTTCGAACTTTACGGATTTCCACTTTCAAGGCGCTCGGAAATGTCCCATTCGAAAATCTTGTAACCGAAGGATCGCAACGCATCGAAGGACTGCCGATACAAGGACAAGGACTTCCGCGTCGTAGACTGATGTGATGGATTACTTTTGTACAAAAATACGATATACCTATAATATTAGGTAAGGCGCCGCGTGACGTTAGCTTTAGTTGCGGTACACGCAAAATTTCTGGCATGTTTGTTATAGTATAATTATAGTCTAGTTACTTTGTTCGCGTCACGGCCTCGCGAAACACCGTAGAAATGCATTTCACATGAAGAGCGGACAAAATATAAATTAAAAATTATTCTTATTCCGACATTTTTTTTAATTATTTCACCGTAAGAGGACACAGAATGCCGTAGCAAACGCGAGCCGGAGGATATCATGAAAAAATAATGAAACATTTTTGAAAACTTTATTCCAAGAATTAAAATATTATATACGATGAATAATTGACGTTAATATGCATTTCAAATATTTATATCGACATACGTCTATAGGAATATCGCCGAGAGCCGTGACGCATATTTATATATTTATATTTTTGCTACGTAGTGTATGTAGTCTTTTCACCGCCAGCACTTTCCAAGAAGATCACTCTATGTCGTCTAACACGAAGCGAAGCACCGGAATAACGCATAGTTTCGTCTTGTCTAGCAGTATGCAGTTTCAAGTATTAACTCTCTCTCCCGCTCATCCCATTCATCCCTATTTTGTCATTATTTTGTAACGCGAGGCGCACGCGTAGAAGACAATCCCTGTCACGTGTATCCCGCGGCCGGTCTCTCGCAGCGCTTTTTATTAATTATTAGCGAATTTATGGATTACAGACTCGGCTCGCTCGCTCGCAATTCCACTAAATTCGCCGTCATTATATCGTACACGTACGCGATGCAGCTCGTTAAGACCGACGTTGAGGTGGCTGCTCTCGCGCAGCAGCGTAACACCGGCCGACTCCCCCCACCCCCCTCCCTCTCCATCTCTCTCTTTCTCTCTTATCCCTGCTGCGACGAAATTCGAAATAACGGAATTAGTCTCGGTGAATTCAGGAAATTACCTCCATCGCCGTCGGTCGCGCCAAAGTTTTAATTGTACTCGGTACATATCTATACACGCGCGTGAGCGCGAGCGTGAGTGTCGTGACGCGTGTGTGTACGCGATTGCAATTACGTTCCGCGGCTTAATGTACATGTAAATATAAGATACACACCTCGGACCATCTCGCTCGCTTCCTCCCCGCTAACCCCTCTTGTATAGATAACAATAACTTTAAGAGCCCGAGTGCGAAACCGCGCGGTAGATTCTGGTCCGGAATTCGCGCGCTTCGTTCGCGCGCGAGGCGATGTCGGGGATAAGATCGAATTTTGGATTACACGACTGTTGCGTGTGTTCTGAATTGTAATGGGACACGGCTTTTCGAATAAATTACACACGATGTAACGAGTGCTTTTCTCTCTCTCTCTCTCTTTCTCTCTGAGGCACATCTTTGCTCCCCGAGCAAGTTTATCATATGTTACAAGAATTTTTACTCTACACCCTCAGAAAGGGTTACCGAGACAAAAAATATTCTGGACGCATTTATATTTCTCACAACCAAGTATATGCGACTAATTTTGGATTACACGACTGTTGCGTGTGTTCTGAATTGTAATGGGACACGGCTTTTCGAATAAATTACACACGATGTAACGAGTACTTTTCTCTCTCTCTCTCTCTTTCTCTCTGAGGCACATCTTTGCTCCCCGAGCAAGTTTATCATATGTTACAAGAATTTTTACTCTACACCCTCAGAAAGGGTTACCGAGACAAAAAATATTCTGGACGCATTTATATTTCTCACAACCTCATTTAATATAAAAACAAGACAGTATCAAAATAAAATCAATAATTCTTATTCTCCTCTGTCGAATTAAAACAGATTGACTTACTATATTGAGACAAGAGTAACTTATGTAAATGTAAGTTTATATATTCTTGCGTTTAGAATAAATTCCCCCTCCATCTTACAGCGCACGAAGTTGGCACCGCGATATTCGACAAATGACGATACGTACTATCTTTTTGTTCTAGATTTCTCTTTAATAAATATGATTGGCGCAATATCGATCCTATTTTATGAAACATTGAAGTATAATAGCATAGAATTCGGAAATTTTTCAGCGGGTGTAGAAAAGTAGCACAAGTTTTCAAAGGATTAATTTTTTCTTCAAAACCTAGCGCTGCCATAGCCTGCAAATGTATGATGTAGCATCATTGTATAGGAGTGATTGTAGCTTACAAGCGGTAATAAATATTCTGCGGATATGAACACAGCAGAATTACGATTTTACTGCCAGTGCATCCAAGTGAGCTAATACCTTATATTCATATTACGCAACGTTTTCATATGTCGTTACGTCAGAAGTCGCGAAAAATTCATTACTCGCGTTTTATCGACTAAGGGCCGGTTGTTCCAACTTCTTGATAAGTTAACTAGTCGTAAAATCATATGCATGTCTTGGACAAAGATAGATACATAATTTGACTATTAATTAGCTCACCAAGAGATTGGACAAAACCGGCCCCAAGAGTTTTATATGTGAATACAAAAAATATACATTAGCATATCACAAACCGACGAGTCAAGAATGTTAACCTTTTGAAAAACCCATGTGACGGCCGTATATAATTGAATCTTGAAGAGCCAAACGGTTTTGAACGTGCGCGTTACAGTAAACAAATATAAAAATAACAAGTTTGAGAAAGCGAGATGCAATGTCGCGAGATTTATAAATGCTCCGTTCCAATATCCTCCGAATTTGCGACTGATATTTACGAAAATCGGATATTGCATGCGCGGGAAAGATAATATCCATCTAAAAATAATTAAAAACTGAAGTACAACTAAATGCTTAATTAAATTAAATAACATTAAGAAGCGAAGCAACTGAGTAACAGTGAAGGAGAAGTGTTATGCAATGAAATACGACAGAAATACAACAGAACTGAGAGATAATATGTCACAATAATCTAGACAATAATCTATATCGTTTGTTCATTAATCAATTCTATGAATTCTTGGGGTTTTTCCATTAGTATCACAGACCGTGATAAAGATCGAAAACTTAACGGCATAGAAAATTACTTCCTAGCATTGTTTGTGATACAAAAAAGTTTCTCAGTCTCGGTTGTTGGTTAGCGGGATCGGCTGATGCTTATCGCAGAATCCGAGCAAGATATGTTAAAGTCTAGTGTTGGAAATGAATCGGAATTGAATTAAATTTTATAGTCTATTTTCTAGGCTGTTGCCGGACACTTTCGTTGCATTTGTTAACGAGGGAGATTGTCATCGGGTATATTAATAATTTAAATATTAAAAAGCGGTTAATTAATACCGCGTAATGTTATTCGTTATTTGCTTTTAGAGAATTAAAAAGACCGTAATGCGAGAGAAGCACGTGAAAAATATGAAATTTACTGGAAATGTCGTAGGAACCAATGAAAAATTAAAATCCACCATTGTACCACCGGAAATCCATATAACTTAATATATCTGTATTAATATGGAATGTAGAATATTTTTTAAATGCTAGTAAAATCTATCACGTGTCAGAAACACATGGCGTGGCGCGCGCACTTTGCGTTCCGTTTTCAATATTAATAAAACCATCGAGTTAACGCGTGACACAAACAGTAACAGTCAATATTTCTCACTGCGAAAGCTCGCCTTTCCGAAATTAGCGTACCCGTTTGCCCTCGCGCGCGAAAGAATAACGAGTAACGGCCGAAGTAGGGAGTCCGCGTAATACAGTCGCTTCATTACACCGCGAGAAGAGAGGCCACGCGTGTTCTCTCCGCGATAGAGAGGAGTTACGATCCCTTCCCTCCTCACAAGAAGGCCGGCTGACGGCGTGCACGGGTGTCTTCGTATTCTCTCCGTCGGAAGTCCGTCGTCCAGAACGTTTGTGTTTGTGGTGTTGTGACTCTTGGGTCAAAGACGCCCCGTCATGCCGGCGGACAATTTTCGCACAGGTAAGACACTCCTATTAGAACCGCCTTTGTCCGACGGTAATTTTCGAGGATGAGAATTTCGTTTGAAATATTTTCGCGAATGCTAACTGGGAGACGTAATTAACTATTCGTTATAATAGAGAACAAATGGGAGTATATATCTTAATGACGAGCGATTAAATATCACAAACAATTCAGCGCCGAGTATAATAAAGCGAAAATTGTAAATGAAGTTATTAGCGTGTTCTTTATGCGTCATTTCGAAATGGATGTTTAAATCGCGTGCAAATGAAACTTGCTGCTGTGTATCATAATGTTTCGTTTCGTGTTTCGTAATTGTCTATAGAAGTGATAGTTGTCGTTCCCGAATGAGTAGCACCGGGCCATCGACCCTAGTCCAAATACTAGATATAAAAATAGTCTTCACCTTCAATTTCTGGTTTAGCGGAGTTAGAGCAGGATTTAACTATTTTAACTCTCCGTGATTACGCCGCGAGAAGAAACACTGGAGTAATATTTAAAAAAAAAAATGTTTTCCCCGGATCGCTCTTCTCTGTTAATATTTCTCAGATCTAATGTGAATATATCCAAATCTCTCACATACAAATTTAGACTAAAGCAATCACACGCGTAGATTAAATATGAACAATTTTGTCATTAACGTAATTGATGTCCGCGCCGTATCGCACACGCGATATATTAGATATAATTTATGTTGCAACACGATTCATGGTAATATAATATGATAATCGTACGTTACGGTAGAACAAAGGCTCATTACGACAATTCCCTCCCCCCACGCATATATGCGACATTGACGAACATGCGTGACAGGTGTTGGCCGGTCTCAAGTGAACGAAAAGGAAGTCTTGTGCAAACATAGAAGCGATTTTGAATTTGAATAGTAATTAAATTGCTATCGCACTTCTATCGGATTACCATAATGCGCCGGAAACTATTTTCGTTCATGGTCGTTTCTTACGTAACGTTATATTCTAATTTCACCTATTGCTAAATCTTACAATTTTGTGCAACGTGAAAAATTTATAAAACTCTTTGCAGAGATACCGCAGTAATTTTGTCTTTCTGGAAAATTCTGTATGTCGAACTCGCGGAAACCTCTTCCCGAGATCGCGATATTGTAGCTTCAAGGATCTCTTCTTCGTCTGTTACGACTGGAGTATTTTTATCGACAAACTATAACAGATTGTTTGGCTCAAACGAACAGTGTTTATGCGTCAGGTATACTGTTTTTTGTGACCACTGTGTCTCAAGATATAATTTTTCACATTCTGTTGCGTGTTTTACCGCGTGAAACACTTATAAACACACAACATACACGTTTACTTAATTCATACGATAAAAAGTACTAATGGTGCAATCTTTGTACGATTCAAACTGACGCGTGGCTGTCATAACGATTCTTGCAATCGATTCTGGTCACGAAATCTTATTGTGCTACTAAGTGCTAAATTGCAAAAATATTAAGTGCAAGAAAAACACAGGAATTTCAATTTGGCATATCTTTTTCACACAAAATAGAAACTTATTAATATTCGCGCATAAAAATATATTAAATATTTTATTTTTTGTATTACCGCATTAAATCTACTTTATTATCGCGACGTAATAATAACTTATGCTTGACGCGAGACAGTGCCGTGTCTCGTGATATCGTATCTATAAAAAAGAATTCACCGATTTTATCAGTAAGTACCCGCGGAGTAGCGGAGAAATTCGGCAGATAAAATAAAAACGTATTAGTAAGTCGTACGGTGCGGAAGATAAGATTTCCTGGCATGAGTAGTATTTTTTACCTGTCTCATTCTGATAAATCTACGGGGACTAGAGCACCGTCGGCATCGGAAATAACTATTTACAGAGACCTTGCTTGCGTATTTACCGAATGTATTTCAACAGCGCGAGATCATTTAGAATATTTGTTCAGTGGCCGGCACGAGATTAGACTTTCGACTCGCCGCTACTGGATAACTCGTGCTATTGGCCTTTATCACGGTAGTGTGGAAATAAACCCTCTCGATATCGCGATACACACAAGTTGCAGAATTGCTCCGCGGTTATCTCAATTCTACCGAGTATAAACGGTGATCGATTAACAAACGTACATTAATTATATTTAGACGGGGAAAAGTTTCTGCCGCGGCGTCTTCCGAAAAGCAGCGCGTCATTGTCCAACTTCGCTTATTGAAATTAATGCGGGACGAGAGCCACAAATATTAGTTTTGCAAGTTAATTAGTTGCGAGGCTGAGAAAATCACTTATTCTGGATGAGACATTTCCGTCGTGGAAAATAAAGCGGAAGAAAAGTGGCGACAAAACGTGTACAAAACTATATGGGGCAGGTGGAACGATAATAGAACGATAAGAGAATTCTGCAAAACAAATGCGTATGTAACTTTTTGCATTTCTAATACACATATAGAAAAACTCATTTAATTTGCTATCTCACTGTTTGTAATTTTTATGGAACGCGTATATTAACAATGATTCGAATGCACAACAGTGAGCCAGTCAGATAATTCCTCCACAAAGTATTTTTATTTTCTCCGTTGGAGATAGAAAAGCTTGCTTATCGCCGGAGGTTAAAAGATAACTCTTGCTCCAGCAGAGATATCATAAATATGTATCGTTACAACACTTTATTGCTAATCGCAAACTTAAAAATTTAGTCGATACTGCTGCAATATTACAAAATAATGACGTAAATTCTTAAAAAAAACTTGCAAGTTAGACGTAAAAGCTGTCAAATGGTGAAAAAAAGGTTGATAAAAGATGAAAACTTGATGTGCTAATTGGTACAGACTTACCATACATGAATATATAATTATGAATCTAGAAGAGTGTCAATTTAAAATACTTCACATATTCATATTTTTGTAATTTACTAAAAATTACACCATTCTTGATATGAAAAAATCGTGTCTAATCTTCGCAAGGGAATAGGTCAATACGGAATAATATAGTAAGTTTTCAAAAGAGTCGTTTCACATAAATGATTACTGTTGCATTGCTCAGCATGATATAATATTTCGAGCTGTACCATTTTCGAGAACAATGACATGTGTTTGAGAAACTCTGCGCACAAAGTTCGCGAAAAGTCACAGAACACCTTTGAATATCAGACGATAAAAAGATCGGAAGGGAACTTGAAAAAATGAGTGAAAGCGCGTCCTCCCAGCCTCGAGGTGGACAAAAAACATTTCTGTCAATTTATCGTCGCATGTATGCATGTACATACGATGCCACGGATCATTAGTCAATTTGCGCCAGCTAACGTTTGACTTACGTTCGCGCATTTATCGGTCTAATAGGCAGATTATACCAGCTAATTGCAGCGTAATCTCTTGACGGCGCTCCCGCGAAATTAGCCGATTGTATGTAGATCGTAGATTAAAGCTTCGTTAGCATGGACGGTTGTTCGTTGATTAGAGACGGTGATTAGAGAGGCGCAACAATGTCTCGCGACCGAACAAGTTGCGGCTTCTTTTTGCGCGTCTCGTCGATGCATCCGTCTTCTCTGGACAAGTTTCGCCACGTCGATGCTAACGATCCACTCGGAACATCTGGGATTTGATTTATTGATGTGCACGCAGGTAAAGATTATCGCATAATTATAATGATTCTCTCCGGGCGCGACGCGACGACGCGCCGACATTTTATATGCATCGGATGCGTACTCAATTGCACAGTGCAATATTACTTAAGGCAATAAAAGTTAATGGTTTAGATAAACTGCCATCGCTCATTTAATAATTATAAAGCGTTCGAAATTAAAAATGATTAACGATTCGTGTTGATGTATGCAAGAAAATACAAGAGTTATACACTCCGAATGTATTCCCTCGATAGCTTCTACGATGTTTTTGTATTCATGGAAGAACTCGCGTATCGAATCTGTTGGTGATAAATTAAACATAGTGGGATGGAAATGCAATTGCGTCTCCACTTTAAGCACGGAAAATCGAACAATCGAATAATCTACGCCGATGGAGAGAAACATCGTGGAAATATATAATGGCCGAAGATTATTGGCCATGCACGAGTCGTAAACAATTAATCGTCGAGCGTATCTGCGCGATAGGAGGGTTGCACCGCATGCATCTTATCACACGTGGGCGAAGAATACTTCGAGTGGAAATGTGGATAACGGTAATGGGCAATTTTGACATGCATAAAAGAGCTGCTGTTCCCCGTAAAAATATATTTGTCTGCCCTTATCACGCGATATCCGTTCGCTATCATCGGATAAGTATTATCGACAGGTTCTGAAAGTGGTGTTGTCAACTGCTAAATCCTTTCCTGTCTTGCACAATATCGGGGGTGAAACGCAAATATTTTATCATTGACCTGTGTGACCAGCGTTGGGCAAAATGTAGTCGTGAATAAGAAATAACGATTATAAATTTCGTCCCAATAACTAACTTTACATTTCATTTCGCGGACGATATAATTTCACTTTCTTTTTCTTATACCGACGTTCTAATTTTATCTCATATGCATATACTGAAGAGGTTCCAGTTTACGATCGAAACGTATAACACTTTTTATCTAAAAAAAATTCTCTGACACTACCATCTTGTCTTTCTTATTGTTTCATCTAAAATTTGTATTAACGCTTACAAATGCGTCTTGTCTAATACTGTCTATATACGACGTAGACAAAATACAATTCGATAATTATTTAAACCATAAATCTTTTTTTGTAATAAGTCAGATATTTCTTGGACAAATCAGAATAGATCAGAATACACATTAGACACGCAATAATTTATCATTCTATTCTAGAGCGAAGATTATTAATAAAATATTGCAAAAACTTTTCACGGGAAACCTTATTGGTTTTTTGTTACTATACCACGGAAAAGGTCGAAAAATCGTGTAAATGAGTAGACTAGGACATTTCTTCTTTCAACAGGAAATATAAATTAATCTGTCTACACTTGTAAAAGATTGTTAGAATAGTTCACGTCTTCACAATACGTACGCTTTTTACAAAAATAAATCACGAAAGATTTAGTTTCAACGGAGAGAAACGCTTTCATAAATCATGAATACATAATTTTTCGGTGTACATTTGAAATATTCCGTTCCCAATATATGCCTGCTGTCCGAGCTTTTAATAAAGCTGACGTTTAAACGTTTCCACAAGAAATCCTTTTGACATTTTTTTCATTAAATATTATTTTTGCTTCAGATACTTCATTTAGGCACGTCCATTGATACAGCAGACTTGTTCGTAAATTGTGCGCTTGTTTTAATCTGATTAATGTCAATACGAATTTCTATTCGTGTAGACTCGTTCGTTATTTCCATTAAGTGTTTAATGAATCTGTCCGTTATTTTTCATTCATAAAATTGTCATTAATTACGAAACATTAACGGATAACGCTCGCGGTTATTTTTATCGTGCGCGAAAATACACTCCGGTCGAGAAGTGTGCTTTCTGAATAAGCCACTAGAATTTTACACAATTATAGTAATTGTAATTCAAGAATTATTACATTTCTCGGAACAGTAAAAAGAAATACGATTTTATACTATATATGTACAATGTACGTGTAATTGACGATAAAAAATTGGAATATCCATATTCAAAGGATTTCAAGAGATTATCGCTGTTGCTCAAAATTTTCAGGATATTTGTTAAAGGTCTTGTATAAATAGATAATTATTTGTATAACAAATAATTGTAAAATAACTGATTAATTAAATTTTATATTATTATCAGATAAAAATTACTTATTTGCAGTACTTGTATTTATCTTTCGAAAAATTTTTAATTATTCCTTTCAACGTTGCTGCAGGTATGTACTTAAAATGCATCATACTTGCGCTCACTTAATACCGAGCTTAACGCTAATGTTCGCTCGACGATTACTGCTTAACATAATTGATCAGTTTGTAGAAATTACGATAATTTGCATTCCTTTTGCCAAATTGATTAAGGGAGGACTGCAAAAGAGAATGCGAAGAGAGAAGATTAATATTGAAAGATGAAAATGCAAGTACATTATGCGTCTGATTACGTGTCTAGGTATGTAATGTTGGTTGTAATATTAAGCACAATATATCATAGTGGCACGGTTTATCATAAATTATAACAATGCCTCGACGTAAAATAAGCAAGCGCACTCGCAATTTTTTATCGTGCCATGTATGTACCCTGTGATAAAAAGGTACGTTTCTTTATCTTGGAAAAGGAGACGGAAAAGTGATCTTGTATATTAACATTTTTTCTACACTATTATCTGGCAAAAATCTTTCTACACAGGCATAATCATTTGAAATTTTAGGAAAATCGATTTTGTATGCACGTATTTTAAAACGAATAGAAAAAGAAACTGATGAGGAAATTGAAAAGATTTGAGTGCAAAAGTGTTTATGAATCCTGTTTTAGATATGACTTCGTATTTAAGGTAGATCAATTATAGATTATTTAGGTGCAATCTTCAAAGCGTGCGGAAAGTAAAGCGTGCATGCATCTACGACATATTTTCAAAGTATTTCTTTAACGCTACGATCAAAGTGAGCTTCTGAATAAATGCAACGGTATTCAAGGCGATTTTAGTGACATGCAATTCGACGTATTATCAACGAATTTAATTATCTCTCATTGCCATTCGGTTCAAAGTGACGTTGAATGTATAATAAAATCAGCAGCTCTGTGTTTTTCCTGGACTGACAATCGACTTGCAGCGTATCGACGTGCATCGATGCCGCGTACGTCGACCTTGCTCGAGCGGCGACACCGGTAAGCCGGCGTCCGCGTGAAAGTTATACCGTCAGTAGTAGTCGCGAGTTGTACGTGTTCGCACGTCGACACAGTGTGGAAAATGTGGCGGAATCGTCGTAAGACGAGAGGCAAGTGATGCAATTTGCGTTAGGAAATATTTGATTTTATCACGCGATCGCGCTAATAAGTCATGGTGACTACAGCTGTCGAGATAATTAAGATATTTGTAGTAGCAAAAGGAGGTTAGCAAATAGCGGCAATTCGGGGAGGGCAGATGTAACCATATGCAACGGCCCCGCGTTGTTTCTAAGAGAGGAATTTTGCGAAATACACGATTCAGGAAAAGGATAATTTCCTGAAAAGTCGAGCGCTAAATAATGAACGGTATGCTAAGCGCGACGTTATGCAATTCCTCGGGTGAAATTCACCGTTTGGATTTCCACATTTAATTTTGCGTTTGCACCCGAGAAAAGGCATGCGTTATGCAGTTCTGTTTGTTCTAAGAAAAAAATGTTTTCAGGACTAAAACGATGGGTGCAAGGAGAAGGCTCCGTGAAGACTACTCTCATCGCCGGATTGGCGGAGATGATCGGTACAGCCATGCTAGTATTTATGGGATGCATGGGTTGCATCGCCGGTCTCGGCGTAGTGCCTCCTCACCTGCAGATAACGCTGGCATTTGGCTTAGCGGTTATGGTTGTGATTCAGGTCAGTAGATACTTTTCAGCCATCGTGTTTCACCATTACTCCAGTTTTACCCGCATTTTAGATTTGATGACAAAAAAAAGACTACGATACAAAATTCAATATTACACGGTTTTTTCACTCCCTTTCTCCTCCATTGTGCGCGTCTACAATATTTCCTTCAAGAGTTATCATCAATGTCTCGACGTAATTTTAGTATCGTAGCGGAATTTGCAGTACAATTAATTATACTCTAATTACTGATGCCCTTATAGGGTGGTATAAGTAATTGGAGTATAATAATTGTGCTACAAATTTCACTGCGGTATACTATAGTTACATCACTGACATTTATTATATTGTATCACCGTATCATATCACGTTACTGTGTAATAAGATTGCACATCTATTATATCATATTGTACCATTATAGTCTTCCATGTGGAAAGTGAAAAGCTTAAAGCTTTATACCAAATGAACAACAACAACAATAATAATTATATGTGGTAATGCTATCCAGCACGAATTCTATGATTAAATAACGTAGACGGTGCAGGATAATTCAAATTCTAAACAATACGTATAATATAATTTTGATGCGTCTGTATATAGCGAGAGAGAAATGCTGAAAATCTCTAGTTCGGTAGTTTATCCGCGATAATTGAAAAATGACGTATAACTTCTGTATCCAACATTGAGAATTTCTCGCTTACACTCTTGAATGAAACTAATCGATTTGGCTAAGGTGTTTATTGCGTGTCGCGGATTGTTGCGCACGAAAGATGCATTTTATTACGACTGTACGGCATTTGCATATCTCCTTTCGCCGGAGCTGGTAAACAAGGTTACAGCGGCCACGAATCGAAGGAAAGGAATGCGCGAATTCTCCCAATGTCCAGCGTGCGTTAAATTCGCTTCTATTCATTTCATAATTTTGTATTCGCGCGACGATTCGAATTTTATTGGCGCGTCTTATCATAGCAACAATGTTAACGCACCGGTGATTAAAAATTTTCCCCGACTCTGTGTTTTCAGTGCATCGGCCACATCAGCCAAGCTCACATTAACCCGGCCGTCACCGTGGGATCTATCATCCTGGGGAAAAAAACCATTCCCGAGGCTTTAGTTTACATTGTGTCGCAGATGATAGGCGGCATTCTGGGTTACGGTATACTGAAGGTCGGTATAAGAAAATCCAATTATTCTATCGCTGAATTAATTACAATTAATTACGTGCAGGTAAACGTATATTGATTCGCATAATTGTCGCGGGCATTACAGTTCAATAAAATCGTGATTTAGCGAGGAAAAATTTTAGAAAGAACAGAAGTACGCGAAGAAGAAATCTGTAATTGCGCTTTAAAATAATTGATTTTGTCCGTAGACAAAAGCGAAAAAGTTTTGCTCGTTGAAACCAATCGCGTTGCAAACAGTTACTTTTAAGATGACGCGATATAAAGCGATCTTTTTCGATAAATTAAACTTAGGATCACAGAATTTCTTTCGAGTTGTTTAAATGTTAAGTTTTCTATACTTTTTCCCGACGGGTAAAAAGCCATTTTGTAGAGGAATGTGAAATAATCGAGGGGTACGTGGTTTAGAGAATTTGGAAAGAATAATAGAGAAATAATAAATATGATATAGAATGACGAACTAGATAGAGAAAATGGTCAGGAACTTTGGAAATTATGGAAAGAAAAAACTAAAACAGCAGACGAGAAGAAGAAGAAGAAGTAGATGCAGGAATAAGATAGAAAGAGAATTAGACTGCGAATTGGAGGACGAGATACGATCGGATAGAATAGGTTATGAGGATAATATAAGGCGTGGGTGGATGAATGAGAAGGCGTAGTGTGGGTGGACGTAACTGCAATCGCAAACCAAGTCCCACTTCTTGATCGTAAAGTTGAAGTGAGTATATACTGACGGGTAAAAGTAATAAATATGATTAAAGCGTTTGGTTGTGTGTGTGTGAGATAACCGGGCGGTCGAAATTGTCGTGCTCAAATATATAAATCTATATTTTCTGGTCGTATTGACATGTGTGGGGATCTTCACTATATCCGCTGTCGTAATTTAAGCCAACTAGCGAAAGCTGGAGAACGAGAGAGAGAGAGAAAGATAGAGAGAGTGAGACGAAATGATCTACACGGTATGTGGATTTTATTAAAATGTCCAATTAGCATTTCGCTCGGTGATATCTGAATGAAAGGAAAACGATTATTCAATGAGACAGATATGCTGGCGACAGGTTGCAGGGTTATACAGCGAGATAAATCAGAAACATTCCCGATTAGCTTGTATCAATACTCAATGAAACGCGGGTCAAGACCTTTATTTATAATCAGTACACGTGTCATTCGGTTAATAATTAATGCTCTCGTGTAATCAGAGGGAACCTTACTGTCGCGGTAAAATGTCGGCGATCTAGATAAAGCGAGCAAAAAGTGAATAATACAATTGCCCCCTTCTCCTATTATTGAAAAATGTGTACTTTAGAGTTCAATGATCGCAGAAGTTATGGATTTATCATGGAAATAACGTGGTAGAATATGAATCGTCCGATGTTTCTGATAGCGGACAAAAGCATTCCAAGATAAAGCAAAAGAGTATTGCATAAACAGGAGACCTCGTACATATATTTCGCAATTTCAAAACTTTTTATTGTCGCTTTCATAACAGCCGTCTCCAATCGCAATTTATATTTTTATAAAACACACGACAAATAGAAGGATAAATGACAATACGTTTGAAATTTTCCGCGAAATATTTGTTTGAATAAATAATAAAATAATATATTGCTTTTTTACAATACCCAACGCAATGATGCGTGGGTAAAAACAATGTTCACGATTAGTGCGGCGCTTCCCTCATTTATTGTGTACAACCGAAATCCCACTTGGCCTTGTTTTATTCACAATGAAATCGGCTATTATTGCGTAATGCGAGATACAAGAAATCTTATCGAATGTTAATCCGCCGTCTCCCCTGTTCGCAGGTGGTGACACCGAGGGATAATCTGACGGCCGGCACGGTCGATCAGGCCGATATGTTTTGCGTGACCGATCTGCACGCCGATCTGTCCGGGATTCAGGGCCTGGTTATGGAGGGCCTCGCGACCGCCATTCTGATATTTGTCGTGTCGTCCGTTTGGGACGCGAGAAATGAGAAGAATTCGGACTCGGTGCCGATCAGGTTCGGCCTCACGGTGGCCGTGCTGGCGATGGGAGTCGGGCCCTACACCGGTTGCAGCATGAATCCCGCGAGGTCGTTCGCGCCAGCGGTATGGAACAACCAGTGGAAGCATCACTGGGTCTACTGGTTCGGCCCGATCGGCGGCGCTCTCATTTCCTCGTTCATGTACAGAACTATTTTCGGCGTTTCCGACAAGGAAGTCGAGGAAGAGGAGCCCGAAGTACCTGAAGCTGTCGCGCTTAACAGCGTGGATGCACACAAAACGGAGGTGAGGCGGAACGAATGATTGATAAGACACGTTCACGATACGCGACGCACCGATTTTCCCCGTCTTTCATGACCGCGGAACACTTGAATCGTGCAGTGTGAGCGAAGACGCGGGAATAGTCTGATATTTAAATTTATATAATTGACTTTCCCAGAATGGAAAGAGAGAGGGAGAGATCTCTGCATACGAAAGGAGCATTTGAATATTATCTTAAAACGTACAATGCATTATTTATTATTTTAAATATCGCAGAGAAATATATTTAACTCGCGAAACCTTCGTTTCTTGCGAGTGGTATAAAAATATTCAGCACGCTTAGCACAGTTTCTGCCGTTGCGCTTCTCGAATAAAATATCGAAATAACGTGAATTGATTGTGCAGGGGCGAGCCCTCTATTTTATACGCCCTAAACCAAGATACAAAACGCACGCCAATTTCGCGCGTAACCGGAACCACGTCCCGTTTCAGCGATAACTCTTGTTAACGACGTTTCGGCGAAATTAACGGCCATTTTCATGCGACTTTAAATGAGCCCTTAAAATACGGGGGAAACGAGGCTCACGTGGCTTTATCATGTAAACGCCATGCCCGCCATGCATCAAGACTTTTCTCATGATGCGGATTATCTTGTAAGGGCCGACCATAAAGGTCGACGATAAATCGCTAGGTGGGCAAGGAAGTTCAGTAAAACTGGTTTTACGGGACGTTACCGGAGAAGCTGGATTTAACGTCGTCGGTTTACCCGATCGTCGATGCGCGAGCTCTAAAGTGGATAAGGAAAGAAGCCGTTCGTCCCGGCGATATTGTATTTCATTCTTACGTATCTCCTTATTTCACCGCGAGGACCGCGATTTTATCTGCGCCCGGCCGCACGCAGGCTAACCCGCGCAAGGGCGATCTGCACCGGGGCGTAAAAGCGCTCTGAGCGTTGCAACGGGCACAGTGCGAGAATATTAAGACGATCCTTAAGTCCGCGCCGTAAATCCGCGTCTCTCCTCCGTCATGCAAAGCCACGTCCATTACTAAGAAACGTACGGTGGAACGTTCTTTTGATTCGCGCGCGCAAACAAGAACTTTTCAATCTTGGGGGGGGGGAAATGAATTTTTTTTTTCACGCAACTCTTTATCGCGACCGGCGCGGCTAGGAAATGCTTTGATTTTAATTAGAAACTTTCGAGCGCGGCAAAAAGCCCCCCCCCCCCCGCCCATTTCCATCCATTTTAATTAAAGCGACGGTAAATTATGCCCGGCGAATATTATTTGCGAAGCCGCTATTTATTAACCGCAGCAACGGCGCGCAAGTCAATAGCCGTTATTCAGTCAATTCGTGATTATTAGCGATCCTCCAGCAGCCCCCATTTTCCCGCGGTATCGTGCGCTGAATATTTCCGCGCGCCACGATTTGCGGCTTTCGGCTCGGTCGCGAAATAACGCCCCCGAAAATTAGCCACGGCATTCCACTGGCGTCCATCTTTCAGCAGCCCTAACTCGCCGGCGGGACGGAAACGACCGAGGTGACGGACGGTAAGAAGCTGAAACTCGGCCGACGCTTTCTCAACGCGAGGAAAACCTTCCGGACTTTCGGGGGGGATAGGTAAGATAGGTGCTTTAGAATGCACGGGCGATTCAACGGGCGGTTCCAGATGGCCCAGGCTCGCGGGGGAAGCTTCCGAAGCTCAACCAGGATATACTCAAGACCCCCGAGATACACGGGATAGACAATCGTCTCGATTCGGCCGTCGAATTGTAACGCGTTAGGCCTGGCTTTGCCAAACGTCGCTTAACTTCAATCCTGGTTTAATTCACGCGCGCCTCTTTCCAAGTTAACAGTTAAAAAAAGACCAAGAACGAATTAAGCCAAGCCTAAAGTTAAACGATGTGAAACCGGGCCTTAGTCGTCAACTGACACAGCAGTCATCGCGTTTACGTATCGCGTACAGTCGCAAGACGTTTTCTCGTTAGCTCTGGAAATGCGCACCATTGCGAATCGTCACCTTCGACGGTTCGGTCTAAATTTTAATCGATTTCAACGTGAATGTGGCCCAATCAACGGTACATCTTCGGTTTAATTGACTCCGATCGAGTCCAGCGTGATGTCTGTTTATTTATTTAGAAATGTCGACTGTCCCGATACGAGATTCTCGTGTGATGCGTGAAAGCATATCTTGACACAGTGCCCTCGTAATCGCGATCAAGCGTCAATTGTAATGTGAAATGTGAAATTAATTCCGAGTAGGCCGTTACCACTTTCTCTCTGTAATATAGTGTATATTCGTTTGTTATAAATGTCTCGATTATCTACACTGAGGGGAAAAAAAAGTTATTGAAATGGTTAAATGCAGTTAGTCGGCGGTGTTTATTTAGTTAAAAAATATCCGGTTTTTTTGTGTTAAACATACAGCGATTTATCGAAACGTATTTTTTTTAATTGACGAATATTTTTTACGAATTGATAAATGTTTACTTGGCAGACCGTGATCGCCGCGTATAGATGAATGAATCAAGAGGCATTTCTTGATTCAACACTTCTTTCTTTCCTCAATGTAGAAGAGTTTATTGCGCGTGTGTGTATATACATTTATATTTGCTTTCTCTTTGTATCGCACTATACATATGCATTAGAGATAAATTACACATCTGCGCTCCGGTGAGAATGGATGATGGCGAGGAAATAAATTTGAAAAGTCATGTCACACCTAGTCATGCGCGCGTACGCGCTAACTTTTATAACATTGAATTGGACAACAAATAAAATCATCTACCATACGAACCTGTGCCATATTTCCCATCTTTTTTGTACTTGTACGCGCCCCCCCCTCCCCAGATAGTTTAATATCGTTATACGTAATGCATTTATACGTTACAATACTTTTATGCGATGTCGCATGACGAATCGTTTCCACGTTACTCGCTCAATTAAGCAGAGCGGACTATTTTGTATTCGCGTTTGTTAGTCGTCTGGCCCGCCGGAAGCGGATATGTCGATCCCCAGGCGGCGAACGGGCCGATCTTTTTACGAAACCTATTTTTATTACATCGACACACGTATACATTCGTTATTTTTGTAGTTACGCGTATGTACCCGCCGGAAGCCATTGCTACGGCGGGAAAAGCGTTTCGTTCGTCGCGGAAAAGGATCTTTTTCTGCCGATATACGGCGGCTTTCGGCGGAACGACAGTTTCCGCGAGCCAACGATTCGCTATTCATGTACTTTATCAAGGGACGCACAAATATACGTGTAAGTACGACTGGATCTCATTAATTATTTGCCCGCCCGTACACGCGCCGTCTTACTCTTATTTCTTGCAGATCTCGCGACGAACGACCTATTTTGCACAATTGCGAAAAGGTGAACAATTTAACCGACTGTCACGGGAGAATTTGAAACGTTGCAATTTAGTTTACGAATTTGTTCAACTGTGAACTTAAAAAAAAGAGCTAAATTTTTAATTTGCCCGACGGACTCGTCGAAAATAATGTCTTGCGGTAAATATTTGATAGCTGCGCTCGTGAAAAAATATTACATTTCTGGAATAGATACCATAATAAAATTGTTATGTGCTACCCGTGGCAAATAACGTTGGCGCTCTTCCTGTTTTACCGTATAATAATTTTTTTTTCAGTTTTACTTACGAGACCCCACTGTCAACACGGGCGCGCAATTTTATCTCGTATCTTGCCGTTACGACGCATTAGGAAGGGAATGTATGCTAACAATCTTCGTATTTTCGCTGGGTTTTACGCTCGCGCAATAAATAAAAACGCGTAAATAAAAATAACAACTTTGATTGAAAAGGACCGAGCGAGTGTCATCGACAAAAATATGACGTGCGTAAAAAGTGTAACTTTTTGATTTTCCCCTTTGCCGCGGGCCGTCCTGCGCCGGCGGAATTTTGCAACCTGTTTTCGCGATCTGCCGCCGCCGCCGCCTGCGCGATTCGGGACACAAACACTTCATCAATTTATCCGGAACGGCGAAAAAATATGACAAAGACCAGCAAGCGGCGTCATGCCCGTGTGCTTTAATCGTTACGCGTTAATCGGCCATCGATTGCAGAACCATTTGTACGGGCGAAATATTTGTAGTATCATTCGTAGCGCCGTTTAAATTATAGTCGCCTAACAAATCACGTGTAATTGTCTCTGAGTACGTACGTGATCATTAATACCGGGCTTTGACTATGACATATTGCAAACGTGTGCGCCGTGGAAATGGGAACAACAATGGGGAATGTTCACAGTACTTTCGTTCGTCCCGCGGTAATATATTACACCGTCTGTTTTTATCACAATAAGCCATTATCAGCCGTGTAATTTCATGTACCTTAATAGGCAAGTAAAAACAGCTCTCTAAATATTATAAAGCGATATATACGCGGGTGCAGGCGCGTTACATATTATTCATTTCCTCTCTATTGCCCGCTCGGGCGCAGGTAGGATTTCGCGGTTTACCGTCGGTCCATTTATTTTACGGCCTTTCGCATTAGCGACCTTTTCAAAATTACCCAAGCAATTACCTAAGCAATTAAGAATAAACAACGCGCGCGTTGGTATTTTTCAAATAATTTGTGTTATTTTTACGAAAGCAGCATTGGCACATACTTGCGGGGCAGCTTTCGCGAGTACGTGCGTATTTTAATTTTAGAACTTATCTCGCTCAATTGTAAATTGCTCTTGTTTTACGGCTTTTCATCACGACTCTGTTTTGCCTGCTGGAATCTAATCCAGTCGTAAAGCGCGTCCCACCTGCGCACGCGATTCTTTAATTTCAAAGCGCGCAATGTCAAAAATACAACAAAGCGCGCAAAACCTACGTCCTTCGCTATAATTATATATTTTTTTACCTCCACCACGTCTCCTTTTAGAAAGGTCTGCCCTGTGGGTCAGCGTCAGGTCGCGTGTCTCGAATGAAAAAAACAAGAAGGAGTTCGACGCAAGGGTCTTTCAGAAGAAATTGATTTGGGCGCAAAAAGGGGCGTGTTACCGGCGGTAATGGTGACGCGTCCCAAATAACTTTCCAACTCTCCCATTCACCACGTTCTGCGTTTGCAACGTGTCGCCTGGCGCACCAGCCGTTCGTGACTGCCGCGTACCCCGGGTTTGCTGCAGTACAGGCGCATCTGTCAGTGCCGCTCGCGGATATTGGAAGCGGGTCGCAGTGGTGTGCTGCCCGGCATTCTCGCTCTAACAATGCTCGAGAAATTTCGTGAAAATTATCCGAAGGCACGGCGAAGGGGGGGAAAGAAGTTACGGTCACGTCCGCGCGCGAGAATCGGCGATGTCCTCCCATACAAATATCACTGTGCTGATGGGGGAATATTTGGTATTCAATTAAACGCGGTATATTAGCTGTCCAGGGGAGTGAATAAAACAGCGGACCGGAGCTACGAGGCGCGCATGTACGGGGTGTTTATTTCGCGAGACGTTTACTCGCGACGGCAATATTTCCCCGAGTGTAGCAAGAAACTGGCGGGAGGTATTGGCAAATTAAGCTACGGAGATGGTTGTATTGCAGTTAATCTTGTGTCAGTCTCACGCCGTCGAAATGGTAATCTCGAGCTTCGAAAGGTACGCAATTTTGGACCGAGAAATGAAAATTGTTACAACAATGTCATGGAGAATTGCAATTTCTGGCAGTGTCGTTGAGGATGTTATTGCTCGTCGACGGGGCGGTACGAGCTAAACGTGGCAAATAAGCGAACACCCGTAATGTACGTAATGTGCGCTGCATTTTGCGCAAGTGGATCTCGCGGGAACGATAACTTGTGACGTGGCGTGAAATTAGACAAGAAACGCTTAAGCAACGCGGAAGAGTAGTCTAAAAGAAAGGGAGGGAAGGGGAGTGGAAATAAAATAATAAGGGGATTCGAGATTAAAGGCAGGGGAAAAATGAAGGAAAGAAAGGAAGAAGATTGCTCGCAAAACGAAACTGCATCCGGATGATGTCTCGCGTTCGAGCCACATTTTTCCCTCGGAAAAGAAAAGTAATATTTCCGTATGATTTACATGCCGGGCGGCAGGTCGCTCGTTAATAATTCAATTTTCAATCTGGTCTTAATGCTCGCCGGGGTTTCCCCAACTTCGTCCTCCCCCTCCCCCCTCTTTACGTTTTCGTGCTTTCCCGTCGCCGCTTCCGTCCGCGCGCCCACCTCCTTCCCTTTTCTCTTATTTATTTTTTGCCCTCTTTTCTCTCGTTGGCACTTATCCCGCCCTGTCGACGTCCAGATAAGGGCGAAATAAGTACGGCGAGAGCGAATAAATTTTTACATCGCCGTCCAGGTCCGCCGCGCGCACTTTTCACGTCCGCGTCTCGCAATCAAAAGCGGCGGAATTTGACGAAGGGGAGGGGGGAAGAGAGAGAGAGGCGGCGTTTCCACTTCTAATGGAAATTTTATTGTCGAGACGTGAGAATGAGAGTCACGGTATTCGCGTTAACGGCAAGACGGAGGGATTCGACCTTCAAGGTCGAAATGCGAGTGAATTAAGCGGTCGAGGTTGGGCCACTAATTAAAGCATGGGCTCCGGCGTCTCGAGCTGTCGCGGGATTGGTTCATTCGATTAACCGTAGGCGAAGTTTCGCGTCTCGTATCCGGGGATACACGTTACTGTGGCCTAATATCCAAATGAACCGCCACCGGTGCATTACAAAGTGTTATACGATCCATAGACGCTCCGACGAGTTATTGCTCCGCAACCCAAACTGCCGCAAATAACTCGCGCTAATGCTTTATCGAATTTAAGACCCCGATGTCAAACAGTCCACGGAAGCGAGGATTTATATTAATTGGAAAGGAGATAAATACTCTCGCGAGAGAGAAAAACAAAACTCGCAGAAAATTCTTCTAATTGTCAAATATCTTCCCAATTTGTTATACAACGCGATTTCAATATTTCCAGCCACATATACGTCATTAATTTTCAAAAAAGAAATAATACCTCGCCATATACTGTAAAAATAATTATCATTTGAATTCATTACTAAAAGTTTGTTTTCCTCGGCACATTATTTTCTCTCTTTCTTCTGCAATAAATTGAAGTTAATTTTAAGTAATTTTATTCTACCTCATTCCAGGGATTTTTCTAAGTGTTTAATTTATCTAGAATATTCCCGGTTTATTTCGTAAATACACTTTTCTTGCTTGATTAATCGTGAAACACGTGTAACACGGTATCTTTCCCGCAATGCCTAAATTAAATTTATCAAAAGTTATTCCAGAGTTTTCGCACTTTACTACAAAACTATGTAACACGATATATTTTACATAACTAGTTCAGTGAAACTGACTTTCTTCAGTTTAATTCTCTTTTATTTAGCGTCGCGGTATTCAGCGACGCTAACAATAAGAGGCAGAAGTATTTAGACACTGACAATCGCGACGAATCGCGCTATCGCGAGGAACGCCGATGTTTCTCGTAGAGGTGTGCGGGCATTTAATCGAGTAAACGCATCGATGCGCTTATAAACTTTGCGTATAAAACTGGACAGCCTCGAGCGGCGCGTGCATTACGTGCCTTTAATCCGTTTACTCGTTCCACTTTTCCAGAGTAATGCAATTTCATAATTGAGCGAGCGTATTTTACATGCTTTAAGCATATGCAAAAGAAAATTGCGCGCGTTCGTGTGTGACCACTATCGTTGATTAGATGCATACCGTTACAAGAAACATTGTACTCCGCAAGTTTATCTCGATCTTCAAGCCTGACGTACAATGTGTTCTTTGCGACTAGAAACATTTTATTTTATACACTGAAAGAAAATCTGATAGATT